AAAAAAAAAAAAAAAAAAAGAAAGAAAGAAAGTCTGGACTCTTAGGCTGTGCCTGTGGTTCAGTGAGTAGGGCGCCGGTCCCATATACCAAGGTTGGCAGGTTCAAACCCAGCCCTAGTCAAAATGCAACAAGAACAAAAAGTCTAGACTCTTGTTTCCCCTCCAGCTAAATTCCTGAAGAACAACTCCTCAAACCCTGTTCTGACCAGATGAACACATATCTGCCCACTGCATTGACACAGATGACACAGGCAGGAAGGTCTCCTCAGGCACTTTAGGGAGCCAAGAATGCACAGACAGGAATAGATCATGTCACTAGGGAAATGAGACCCATGTGCCCATCCCCTACTAATATGGGACTGGTATGCCAGAGGCTCAAGTGCTTACCTACTTTACTAAATAGCTGAGTTTCTATAGTGAGGAAGAGATCCTCATGCAAGGATTTCAGGATGAAATCCTGTTTGGTAAATCTGTATTTTCACATAAAGGCTTTGCTTAAACAGAGGCATGCCTGCTTCTCTGGCCAGGGAGAGCCTGAACTCTTCCTCTTATTTATCCCATCCCCACTGTGTGCTGGGCCCTCATTCCAAAGGCCACAGTCTACCCCAGGTAGAATTAAAAAAAAAAAAAAATCCTCTCATTTCCGAGTCTTCTAGAGTGAGGACAATATTCCAATTCACAGCAGCCACTTGGGCAAAGCCCTGCCTGGGGAGAGACCAAGACCCTGACCAGTAAGCTCCTGAGAAACAGATCTGTGAGACAGACAGCATCCAGCCCCTGAGGACCCAGACCCAGTGTGCTCAGGAAAAGCCTGCTCCCTAGTTAGGGGCCTGCTGGGCCCTCTGGTCCCTGGACTCCACTCCAGTTCCTAGAAGCTATGGAGGTTACATCTAGGCAGGGACCTAGTGAGGAATGCCCATGGCTAATTGATAAAGATGAGGTTTTTTAAAAAACAAATATAAGCAAGAAAAAGCCTATAACCCAATAACAGTTTTTTGCACATGTACTCATACATATATTTTCACAAACTTGGGATCAATTGCCCTTTATTAAGTGCATTTTAAATTCTCAAGTAATTTTATTTATTTATTCATTTATTTTTGGAGACAGAGTCTCAAGCTGTCACCCTGGGTAGTGCCATAACATCATAGCTCACAACCTCTTGGGCTTAAGTAGTCCTCTGGCCTCAGCCTCTCAAGTAGCTGGGACTACAGGTGCCCACCACAATGCCAGCTATTTTTTGATTACAGTTGTCATTGTTGTTTGGCGGGCCTAGGCTGGATTTGAATCCGCCAGCTCTGGTATATATGGTTGGAGCCCTAGCCACTTGAGCTCCAGTTGCTGAGCCAAGAGTAATTTTAGATTTACAGAAAAGTCGCAAAGATAGTGAAGTCATACACATCCTTCACCCAGCCTTTCCAATGTTAACATCTTACATAACTGGTACATTCATCAAAAGTAACAAACTGGTGACACCTGTAGCTCAGTAAGTAGGGTGTGGGCCCCATATACCAAGGGTGGCAGGTTCAAACCCGCCCCGACCAAACAGCAACAAAAAAATAGCCAGGCTTTGTGGTGGGC